ACACACACACACACACACACACACACACACACACACACACACACACATTAGCTTCACCTAATAGGCTTCTAAGAATTTGGAGAGTATGCTAAGCTGTCCAAGATCTCACAGCTGGTTGCTAGTCACAAACAGAAATTAAACAGAAACAGCCCCCCCCCCTTCCTTCCTCCTTTCCTCACCCTCCTCCTCCCTCCTTCACAAACCAGCCTGTGTGTGTGTACGGCTCATACTTCCACCTGTGAGTTCTGCATAAAGTCATGATGCTATCACCCCCCTCTTTCTTGTGGCTCTACTTCGTATAGCTTTAGTTACTCGAGGTCAACCACTGCCTAAGCGTATTACACAGAAAATTCTAGAATTAAACAATGCATAGGGTTTAAACTGTGCACTGTTCTGAACACTGAGAAACCTTGCACCACCACTGTAAATTATTCCGCCCTGGAAGTCACCTCACCCTTTGTCCAGTTGTTTTGGTCATTAGTCATTGGTCATTTAATAACTGTTTTAATAACTTGATGACTGTTTATTTTCAGATAAACTCTTTGGTATTCCTGCCCATGTTCTAGAGACCTTTAATTTATTTAAATAGTGGACACAATGCATACAGCAGTGATTCTGGACAATTTATTAGTAAATACCCTGGTCATCTGAGTTTGATGATTATTAACATGCATAAGTTGTAACTTCAACTTTACCACTGTGTCTGTATAAGAAAGTAGTTTGTACAGGGCATTCATTCAGACACCGACGGAAACAGGAGGGATTATCGTCTTCCCACCACTGTTTGCACACATGATGCCAACAAAAGGTTTTACAAAAACCCTTGCAAGTCCTTTGGTGGAAATTTGTGCTGGCAGTCTTGGCTGTCAAATTGACTACCTCTGGAATCAGCAAGAAGCCAAGCTGCTGGGTACTCTAGTGAGGGAGTTTCTTAATCAGATCATTGGAAGCTAGGATGACCCACCACCCTAGGTCTGAACCTCACCTTCTAGTGGCAACCTCTCGCAGCAAAGGACCTGGAAGAAGGTTGCTTTTTGCCAGCTTGCTGCCTCACTCTTGCTCGGAGGCTCTTTTATCATGTTGCTTGGTTGGTGGTGGACTGCGCTTCCTCAGGATTCCAGTGTAAACTGAAGATCAGCAGCTCTTCAGGAATCCTCCCGGGCTCCAGCTCCTGAGTTAGACTGCTAAGATGTCCTGCCTCGGGGGACGGAACAACTACCAGATTCTCAGAGACAGCCGTTATTGGACCAGGGAGACCACATCCTGTGAGCCAGTCTCCTAAATCCCCCTTTAATACATGTGTCCTGTCAGTTCTTTTCCTTCAGAGAATGCTGACTAATACATGACTTATTTCTAGAAACTGCAGAAATTCCTCCGGGAATACCTCCCAGCTCAAAGCCTGATATCGCTTAACAAGAATCTGTGGTTTATAGGTGCCATCACAAGAAGCACTGACAAGACAGGGTAAAGAGCAAAATGAGCTATAAGCCATATAAGGAGAAATCCAGTGCATACGCTTCATGATGACTTGCGTGTTCTGCTTTCAGGCTTCTCGAGCTGAAGTTGACTGTGCTCTGTAAAGCTGACCACAAAACCTAACAGTGTGCTGAAGATGTAGTTCCGTGCTGGAGCACTGGCCCAGCACGAGCGTCCCTGGATTCAATCTCCAACACGGAAGAACCAGTCTGCAGACTGAGAGAAGCAAACATTCTATCAGAACCCTGAGCGTCTGGATTCTGGGTCCAGTGGCAGCCGGGGGGCATCATGTACATCATCCTCGCTGTGACGGTCTGGATGGCTTCTTCTGTTTCTAGTTCTTCATACACAGCAGACACTTTGCCAGATATAACAAATGAGGATTTCATCAAAGAATGCGTTCACATTCACAACCAACTTCGGTCGAGAGTGACCCCAACAGCCACTGATATGCTGTACATGGTGAGTGCACTATAGCAGTATATTTGTAGCGTGTGTCAATCAGAAGCAGCTTGCCTGTGTTAATTTGGGCATTAATTCTAGGTAATCCTGGCTGGTTTTTGCTTTTTTGGACTTTTTTTTTTTTTTTTTTTGGTTTGGTTTGCTTTGGTTTTTGGTTTGGGGTTTTTTTGTTTACCGTTGCTTGTTATTAATGGATGAAATGCAGTAAACACAGTCTGTGATCAGAACCCACATGGTGGGGCCTTTCCCAACTCTGTCTTAAGCAATTCCAAAGGCATGATTCAGTTCTTTCTGCACATGAAAGAACTCCCCAACCATGAGCAGCAGACTTTTCCTTGTTGTCCCCTTTTTCTTTCTGTTAATATTTGTAATTTTTGTGTCTCAAGTTTTTTGTTTTAATCATTACGTGCTGTGTAAAATAATGGCGTCTCATTATGGTAATTTCACACAATGTGCTTTGATTATACTCCTCCCATTGTCCTTTTGGCTCTCATCCTCTGATTCCTTTCCTCTTTTGTGTGGTCTTCATTTGTTTCTCTAGAGGTCACATAGAAGAGGATATGATACTTTCTCTTCTTCGGCATCTGCTTTATTTTACTTCACTTGATGATCTCCAGTCTCATCTATTTTCCTGCAACTGTTACAATCTTGTTCTTTGTGACTCAACAATACCCCACAGTATGTTTACATAAACATATGCATACACATAAACATACTATTCCCCCCCCCCTTCATCTATTTGTGAACCACTTGTAATTTACAGCTTGGATGTTGTGAATAGTGCCGCAGTAAACATGGATATGCCCCTATCTCCCAAGTGTGCTGACTTCCATTCCTGTAGGTATATGCCCAAAAATGTTATAGCTGAAACATAGTCTTATGTTTACATTTTTTGGTTTTGCCGATTTCCATAGTGGCTGAACTAATTTACACCCCTATCAGCAGCCTATAAGGGTCTTCTCTCCACCCACATATTAGTGTGCTTTTTATTTGCATTTCCCTAGTGGCTAAGGATGTTGAGCTTCTCTGGAGGATCCTGTTCAGCTCATTTGTTGGTTGTTGGATTTCTTATCCTAGTAATGTTTAACACTTTTAGCTCTTTATACATTTTGGATATTAATCTGTTGATAGATGGAAAATATTTTTTTCCTTTTTATTTTATTATTTTATTTTATTTATTTATTTATTTTTATTTTATTTATTTTATTTTATTGAGACAGGGTTTCTCTGTGTAGCTTTGGCTGTCCTGAGACTTACTCTGTAGGCCAAGAACTTACTCTGTAAAGCAGGCTGGCCTCAAACTCACGGAGATGTGCCTGCCTCTGCCTCACAAGTGCTAGAATTAAATGTGTGCACCACCACTGCCTTTTTCCTTTTTGGGAGAGTCTCACCATTTCTGGCTAACCTTGAACTTGGTATGTAGATGAGGCTGCCCTTGAACTCAGAGATCTGCCTGACTGCAACCTGCACCTTTAGTGTTGTAATTAAAGGCAGGCATCATCACTCCCAAAATTTCTCTCCTTCTTTAGGCTGTCCCTTCACTCAGGTAATGTTAGTTTGTACTGTGCCCGGTTTTTATCTGATGCATTCCCACCTGTCTGTTCTTACTATTTCCTGAACCATTGAAGCCTTATTCAGGAAATCAGTGCCTATGCTTCTGTAATGACATCTTAGCCAAAGTAACCCTGATTGGGCAGAAGAAAAGGAACAAATGAAAAAAGGAGATGTAAACTTGAGACAATTGGCTGTGGCAGTTTGAGGTCTCATATTAAGGTTTGGAATGCATTCTGACTTGTTTCTCATACATTGAAAGAACCTGGCTTCGTGCTTCTGTGTGTGCCTATCTGGTTTCTTCGAAACCATTTGTCTAGTGTTCACTTCGATTAGTGTCCTTGGCTGTTCTGATGCCAATGCCATCCTGTCTTTTCTGATGAGCACTCTCTAGTTTTCAAGCCCAGATTGACAATTCCTCTAGCACTGCTATTTTTACCTGGAAGTCCTTTGGCATATGGAGTCTTTCATGCTTTTGCATGAATTTTCAGATGTTTTTTCTAGCTTTAAGAAAAAAGCATTAGGAGTGAAGTGAATCTGCAAACATATTTCAGTGGAACTGCCATTTGATGCTACCTATCTAAATCCGTGAAAATGAACAGCCATCCCGTCCTCTGTGTCAGTGGTTCTCAACCATCCTAATGCTGAGACCCTTTAATAATATGGTTCCTCATAGTGTGGTGACCCCCAACCTTAAAATTATTTTTGTTGCTACTTCATAATGTTGTTACTTCATAATGTTATGAATCGAAATGTACATATATATTTTTGGAGAGTGGGTTTACAGGTGGGGTCACGACCCACAGGTTGAGAACCACTATCAACCACTGTGTTTTATAGTTTTCATTGTAGACATCTTTCACCCCCATGGTAAGGTTTATTCCTACATATCGTATTGTTGGGAGACTATCAGAATGGAATTATTCTGGAGGTCCTTTTTAGCAAATTCAATATTACTACATACAAAAGCTAGCAGGTATTGCATGATGATTTTTTTTGTATGATGATTTATTTACTTTTACTTTTTTGTATTTTTTATTTTTATTAATTACAGCTTGTTCACTGTGTATCCCCCCCCGTAGCTCCCTCCTCCCCTCCCAATCATACCCTCTCTCCCCCTTCTCCACCCATGTCCTCCCAAGTCCACTGATGAGGAGGTCCTCCTCTCCTTCCTTCTGATCCTAGTCTATCAGGTTTTATCAGGGGTAGGTGCATTGTCTTCCTCTGTGGCCTGGTAAGGCTGCTCACCCCTCAAGGGGAGGTGATCAAAGAGCAGGTCAATCAGTTCCTGTCAGAGACAGTCCCTGTTCCCATTACTATGGAACCCACTTGGACACTGAATTGCCATGGGCTATCTGTGCAGGGATTCTAGTAACAGCCAGAAGCTGGAAACAACCCAGATGCCCCTCAGTTGAGGAATGGATACAGAAATTGTGGTACCTCTACACAATGGAATATTACTCAGCAATAAAAAACAAAGAAATCATGAAATTTGCAGGCAAATGGTGGAAACTGGAAAAGATCATCCTAAGTTAACGTATCCCAGAAGCAGAAAGACACACAGGGCATATACTCACTCATAAGGTGATATTAGATATATAACATAACATAACATAACATAACATAACATAACATAACATAACATAACATAACATAACATAACATAACATAACATAACATAATATAATATAATATAATATAATATAATATAATATAGGACAAACATTCAGTACACCTAAAGAAACTAATCAAGAAGGAGGACTCTGGCTAAGATGCTCAATTGCCATTCAGAAAGGCAAAGAGGATGGACATCAGAAGAGGGAGAAAACAGGGAACAGGATAGGAGCCTACCAGAGAGGGCCTCTGAAAGGCTCTACCCTGCAGGGTATCAGAGCAGATGCTGAGACTCATAGCCAAACTTTGGACAGAGTGCAGGGAATCTTCTGAAAGAAGGGGGAGAAAATATGACCTGGAGAGGACAGGAGCTCCACAAGGAGAGCAACAGAACCAAAAAATCTGGGCACAGGGATCTTTTCTGAGACTGATACTCCAACCAAGGACCATTCATGAATGATGATTTTTAATTGCCCTGCTACATCACTGGATTTGTTTATCTCTAGGACTTCTGATTACAATGCCATATCATCTACAGACATAGGGTTTTTTTTTTTTTTGCTCCTCCTCTCCTATGCATATTCTCTGGCCTGATTACTTCTTATTTGTACTGGCTAGTTTTATGTCAACAAGTCCTCAGAGAGGAGGAGCCTCAGCTGAGAAAAATGCCTCTATGAGATTCAGCTGTAAGACATTTTCTCAATTAGTGTTAGGCTCTGCCCAACACAGGTGATGCCATCCCTGGCTGGTGGTCCTATCCTAGGTTCTATAAGAATGCAGGCCAGTAAGCAACACTCCTCCATGGCATCTGCAACAGCTCCTGCTTCCAGGAATCTGACCTGTTTGAGTTCCTGTCCTGAATTCCTTTGGTGATGAACAGCAGTATGGAAGTGTAAACCTTTTCCTCCTCAACTTGCATTTTGTTGCAGCAAAAGAAACCAAGGCAGCATTCTCGTTCTAGTTAGCAGGTAGAGAGCAGTTAACACCACAGACAGTGGCTCCTTCAGGACTTCATTTGCCATTTCTGCTCCCACTCCAGAAGGAACTGGAACCTTGTCTTTAAGTAGTAAGCCAGTGGAGTCTACAGATCTGAATGAGGAGGGTAACGGCCTTGTCTTGTTGATAACAATTTTGAGTAAGAGATATCTTTCTTGATACTTTTATTATTCATTTTTCAGTCTTGGGACCCAAAGCTAGCCCAAATTGCAAAAGCATGGACAAGTGTTTGTCGATTTCAACACAACCCACAGCTTGGATCACGTCTACACCCAAACTTCACTGGAGTGGGAGAAAATATCTGGACTGGATCTTTAATCCTCTTTTCAGCATCTTCAGCTATCAAAACGTGGTACAATGAAATTGAACACTATGACTTCAGCACTAAGAAATGCACCAAGGTCTGTGGCCATTATACCCAGGTAAGTACTTCCCTAGAGTCTCTTGAAACCATCTTTTATTGGTGAAGAGAGAACTGAACTTGGGGTTGGGAAAATGTATGATAGTAATTATGATAGTATGATACTAATTATGAAAGGAAGACATACTTGGAGGTATTAGTTATGTGGATAAAATCATATGCAAGAGCCATCAGTCTAGGCAGTACTAGATACTCACATGAGATAACATGCATACATTATATTAAAGCCTTGCAATATATCGGATAAGTAAGCTTGCACTCTCTTCTCACTAACTATGTGGCTTTAAGAAAACATTGTAATCTCTCTAATTCAATTTGTTGATGTAAGTATGAATGGTAGAAACTCCTTTACATGTTTGTGGCAAGAACTGAGTGAGCCTTTCAGAATAGAAAGGTAAACACAATGCTCACTGACAAAATGGCTGCCAGAGTTCCATCCTCCAGACTCAGGAGTACCCTGGACATTCTCCCATGATGAGGCTCCTCTTCTGTAGGGAAGACAAATTATGCTGGTCTATTGAAGAGGTTGGGACCACTAATTCAGTCTCTTATCTATATGAGAGAGAGAGATGTCATTTCAAAAATTAGTTTTCTTGTGTCCCAAGTATTAGCCTTCCTTTTTTTTTTTTTTTTTTTCCTAGATGTAAAGGAAGAATTTACAAATTTGGGGAAGTTTTCTGCTGTGTCAAGTCTGTATGGCATGAACTTGAGTTTCCTCTTCTTGTTCTGACTCCCAGGGATGAGGGATACAAGTATGGGCAACAACCCTGTTATAAAGTGAATTGTATTCTGACTGCTACTTATTTTGCATGCCTTGCTAATTAGAATCCAATCAAAGTAACAGGCTGATTCATATACACTGTATCCCTTCTATCCCTGGTTAATGTATCTTGAAGTCTTTCTTTTCATTTGACAAACTCCATTTTCAAGAACCACCTACCACATCACTTACTGTGTGCAACATGGTGAGAACATTTGGCTGCACAGTTTCTGTGTCATTTTTACTCATCTGGCCCATGTCAGTTTCTCTTAATTGTACCAGCCACGTACACATGTGTCTCCTCAAATCAGGGAGAGCTCTCCTGAGAGCCAGAAGCCATGCCCAGCTGTATCTTGCTTTCCCTAACAAGCAACTAACAGCACACCATGAATGCTAACCAACATTTGCAAAAAGTGAAAAGGTGCAGGAGGTCCAAAGATTAAGAAAGTTTGACAACACTACCAAAGAAAGTGCTGGAAAACTAGGAGTTAAACAAAATTCTAAAGTGAGCTAAGGTGGTACGTGGGACTGGTGACATGGAGCTTCCAGCATGTAAAATGAGAACATGAAGAAGTTGTTGAAATACAGGCAGACGTGGTGCTGGAGAAGGACCTAAGAATTCTACATCTGGATCGGCAGGGTCAAGAAGAGACACTGGGCCTGGCTTAGACATTTGACACCTCAAAAACCACCCGTAGTGACACTCTTCCTCCAACAAGACCATACAACCCCAACAATTACACACCTCCTAATAGTACCAGTACTATGCCTATGGCGGGAAGGGCCATTTTGATTCAAACCACCACAGCATGATAATTTAATTTTTCTAAAGTAAATGTGATTCCTTTTTTGCAGGCAGACTGGCCATGATTGTAGTTAACGTGTCTTGGGACAATTGACAGTTATCAGAGCTCCATCTAACAGTTTCAAGATTGCCTCTGTCTTCATTTTATGGAGATTTCCACAATCCTCCAGATTACTCACCCTTGTGCCCACATTGTTAGCACAATTCTTGGGACAAAACAGCTTGATAATTATGGTAAAAAAAATATTTTAAAGTGATTTTTGAATCACTGTAAAAGATTATTAATGGTTGGTTTGTCTTGAAGACAAACTAGTTAGCTTCTCAAATGTTTTTCCTGTAGTTTTAAATACTAATCTTTAGTAGAGATGAGCCACATAATTTATGGGATTCAGTGAAAAATGAAGAAATATGATGCTTTGTTGGAAAAGAGGGAGATCCTTTAAACAACTCCATTTGTTTAAAAACCGCTATTGTGAACAGTGCTGTGATAAAAACTAATGGGCAAGGGTCTCTGTGCTGTGATGACCTGAGCATTGTGATTGGCAATGCTGCATAGCTAGGTCACAGGGTAGATCTATTTGAGTTTTTTGAGAAATCTCCATACCAATTTCCATGGTGTCTTTATTAGTTTGTAGGTGGGAACCAGCAATGAATGAAGGTTCCCTTCTGTGAGAGAGAGAAAGGAAAGAGCACCAGTGGCGGTGGCGATTTTGCAGGAGCATATTTATTTAAACTAAGTTTGGCGCTCTCTTGAGCACCAGACCCAGTTTGACAGCTCTAGTTCTAGAGAACCAGCTCTGTTCTCAGTTTCCTTAACATCAGGACCACATTTACATCTGCTCTGCTGACTGCTCCTATATTTTCCTAACCCAGGTTTGTGTAGTTCCCCTTGTTTCTATTACCTTTGCCTAGATGGTCTTATTTAGCCTTGTGCCTCAAGATTTCTCTCTGGTGTCATTCCATCCTCTAAACTGCAAATGGTTAAGCACAGCAGCTATGCTGGGCTTTACTGAGAAATAGAATGGGCAGCTCAAAATGAACATGTTTTGAACAGAACCCTGTGCCCAGGTTCCTACTCACCTAGCTTATCCCCTAGTTTTGTCTCAAAAAAGTGTCACTTCGGTCCGAAGCCTAAATGTTCCCCCAAACTCAGAACAAAGTGAAATATTTTCAGTTATTCTTGTGAGTCCTGAACTCCACGAGGTTCCAGGAATTCCATTATGCAAGAGTGAGTCACCATGTGTTCATGTCTACACTGCTCAAGCAACCTCCATGATTGCCTCCTCCTTCCCTGCTCGTCTCAGTCCATCCCTTTCCTGAGTACCAAGTGGACCCAGAAAGACTATTTTCCTTATCGAACAGAATTCCTTCAGTCAGTGCTGCCTTTGAGCTCATCTTCTTTGACTGTCCTCTCATCAGGTTGTGCCCCCACTTGCCTTTTTTCTGCTCCTCTAACATGTCAAGCAATTTGTACTCCAGGAGCTTTTATCCCTGAGAATGGATGTTGTCCACTGTCCAAGTCTTCTGATGTTGACTCTGTCTACATCCTCATCACTTCCATCTCAATTCAAAGGTTAATTCAGAGATGTCTTCCCCTCAATACCCCTTTTAATCAGCTGCTTTCTTCCCTTTGAGACACTCCATCGTGTTACCCTGTTTTATTTCATTATAGTAGCTTTCTGTAGAAAGCATGGCTTAGAGTAAGCATTAGAGAAAACCAGGATTGTTCAGCACACTCAGGCTTGCTTTCTTCAATGGAAGGGAGAATGACACCTTGTCACCTGGAATGCTGTCTAAAAAGTAGGCAAACAACCTCTGATCCTTTGCTATTCTATAAGGAGCCAGCCTCCACCTGAATTTCCCCAAATTCTGAGAATTGTTTGGGCTCTAATCCTAGGCTTTGTCTCTTAGTGAATAGAACTCATCCTTATGAAAGAAGCCCCTTATGCCTTGGAGTCCTCAACCAATAGAATCCATCCTTGTACTTGTTACAAACCCTACCTGTACTCTAGGCCCTATCCGTGAGCCCTGTTGTCAGCCAAAAGAACTGAGGTCACAGGTGATTTGCTACTCATTTCAATGTAGTCATCCTGAAGCTTTCTTATGAGAATTGTTATATGAAGAATTTTTCCGTTTGACTGGTGTTGAAATGTGTACAAGAATTAAACCACAGCATCAGACTCTCCAAGTTTTGATCTAGTCTGACCAAGTCCAGTTTTCAGTTTCACCTCTTCACGGTTCCATTTCCTGGCAGCAGCGATATATGCAGGGATCCTCTAAGAGCTTTCCCGTATCATCTTGTCATGTACAAGTGTATTTTACACATTCAACCATGCTTACTGTACTGGGATTATAATTCAGGACTTGTGTCCAGCTAAATTTTGAGTGCCTAAAACTTCTCTAGTAGAGACTGTTATGTAAATAAATAGATATCCCTTACCATAACTATGAAGGCTTGATCATAAATAAATGTTTATTTTACTGTTTCTATGGTAAGAAGTCTTCTTGTACTTTCAGGTTGTTTGGGCAGATAGTTACAAGATTGGCTGTGCAGTGAAATTTTGCCCTACAGTTTCTGGCTATAATGGTATTTCTAATGCAGCACATTTTATATGCAACTATGGACCAGGGTAAGTGCCTGAATTAAACTCTAAAAATATATTAATATAGGAATTCATCTTTAATATAGAAAATCTAGAAAAAGTATAAAGGAGAAATCTCAAGACCTCTAAATCCCCTGTCCAGAGCCTCACTGCATTAGTATTCTAATACATTTTATGTGCACACACACACACATATGCTTTAAAACACTACAAAAGCATTCATCCTTAAGAGTAGCAAGATTAAAATGCTTACCAGGGATGTGAATTGGTATCTTGATTATGCACACACAGGCACACACATACACATATGCTTTAAGACACTACAAAAACATTCATCTTTAAGAGTAGCAAAATTAAAATGCTTACCAGGGATGTGAATTGATATATTGGTAATACAAGGAAGGAGGATTGACATTAACTTATTGTTTGATTAGGCAATTTTGTTTCTGCACTTTAAAACAAAGAACTAAGGTGAAATTGCTCAGTTCACACTAATTACTTCGTTACTTTAGACAGCTGAACTTTTCAGAGAGAAACAGTTTCTCCCCTCTGAAAATGAGAAAAGTTGTTTTCATGCATAGGAAGCCATGGTCAGACCAGAAATAAAGGTTTTGTGGCTTGGTTCCAGTAATTTAAAAACAGTGGTAGATAATGCTGAGTTATTCTGTGTGAACATTCTACATGTTTCATGTGCTAGCTTACTCTTGATATCTTTATTTTTGTACAAGATGCACATTATTTCAGTTGTTCCTGTTTCTTGAGAGTTGCTTGTGTCCTAACATGTGGTCAGTTTTGGAGAAATTACCATGGGCTGCTGAGAAGAAAGTATATTCTTTAGTGCCTGGATGCAATGTTCTATAAACTTCTCTTACATCCCACTTTATCCCAGGGCTTCTTTAGTTTTTGTCTTTATGACCTAGGGATGAGAATGGGGTTACAAAGCCATCCATTATCACTGTTACAGTCAATAATGTGATTTTAGAATTAAACGTTTTAAGTCGTATTGGGAGTTTAAATATTTATAACAGTAATATCTATTCAGTAGACTTTTCCTTTAATGAAGTATCCTCCTATTTTCTGATTAGTTTTAAGTATATTATGGCATATGTTAAAGTAGCTATGTTCTCTCAAGTGTGTTTAATCTTCTCTTCAGACTGACATATACCTTCCAGTATCCTGGCTTAGTGCACATTTATGCCGATTGTCTCCTTTGATTAGAACTGACAGTTCTGCTGGGTATAGTATTCTTGGTTGGCCTCTCTGCTTTCAGAACTCGTTTAACAGTCTGCGCTGTTCAGCTTTCAAAGTCTTAGATGAAAACTCGGGTGTTATTTTGAAGGTCTTGCCTCTGTGACTTGGTATTTTTCTCTTCTAGTTTTCAATATTCTTAGTTCTGCACATTTTAATGTTTTTATTATGTCATGAGGAGTTTCTTTCTTAGTCTTGTCTATATGACTTCTGCACCTTGATAACAGTTTTGGTTTGGTTTTGTTTTTTATATTGGGAAATTTGATTTTTGTTAAAACAAAAACACATTTTCTGTGCTTTTGACCTGGGTTTCTTTTCCTTTGATACCTAGTATTGTAGGTCTTTTCATAGTATCCCAGGTATCTTGGATGTTTCCTTCCTGGGATTTGTTTGGTTTTTTTTGTTTGTTTGTTTGTTTTTTTTTTTTTTTTTTTTTTTTTTTTGGTGGGGGGGAAGGGTTTTTTTTTGTAGTTAACATTTTCTTTAAGTAATATTCTCCCTTCCTCTTGAAACAGTCTATGGGTAAGGTTTTTCTCTGAGCTTTTTGATTTCCTGGGTTTTTCATTCAAGTTTTATTCCAGTTTATCTTTTCTTTGGAGACTTTTATTAAATTCCATTTTCACTCCTGAGTTGTTTTCAGTATTTTATTCAACTTTTCAGGATCTTCACTCAGGCATTTATTCATACTATCTTTGACATCCTTGAACCTATTTATAATTTTTAAAGTCCTTACCTTGGGCATCAGTTAAGTTGCTTTTCTTAGTAACTACTACTATGGGTGTGTTGGATTCTTGAAGAAATGTACTAATAATTCATGTGTTTTTTTGCAATGGGTCCTAGGCATTTAGAGTTAGTTCATGCAATTTGTATGTATACCCGAGTTCACCTTTGTGAGCTGGGTGTTTGAATCCTGTCAAGTTATGGACCAGCTATATGATGCTTAGTTTTCAGTCTTGGGGCCACTTTGGGGTCCCGATTCTGCTGAGCAGTGGGTGGGGTGGCTGACTGTTGTGTGGACAGGAAGAAGAACTGACTAAGAGGTTTATCGGTGGAATTCCCTATGGGGCTCCATGTAGTTCTAGAGCTTGGCTGGTGAGATAGTTGATGGTTAGTAAGGTGCCTTGCCTCTGAGTTCTGGTTTAGATGCCACAGTCTGACTGGCATGGTCAAATGGGGTGGCTGACAGGTAGATGGGCTCTGGGAAGGCTGACTCTTGAGGTCTCTCATGTAGCTAGGGAGGTCCCTAACGGGTGTTCCAAGCCCAGCAGTGGCTGAGGTGGCTAAAAGGCATTAAGAGGCCCTAAATGGAGTTCTGCATCAAGCTCCGCATGGTCCCTAGTTGTTGCCATGGGTGGGTTGGCTGATAGGGTGGATAGGTGGATAGGCTCTGTGGATCTATAGAGTTCACGATTGGGCTTCATGTGGTGGTCAGTAGGTGGTGGGGAGACTGCAGAAAATTACTTTTTTCTTTTTCATCTCTTTCATGATTAGTTATTAAAAATCACTTTATCAGACTGTTCATTTATATCTTTTGAAAATCATATTGACTGCCCATTCTTCTATTGGAGTGATTTTCTTAATGACTTAAAATTGTAATATTTTAGGGTTTTAAACTCTTGCCATATAAAACCATTTACCTAATATGTTTTGTTTGGATTCCTGAAGTGGAACAAGCTCATTTTTTTTTCTTTTTTTAAAGAATTCTTGTTCTGGAGAGGTGTTTAATACTCTGATTTGAGTGCGAACCAGAGAAAGAAATTAAAGTCAAGTATCTTTTAGAAAAGAATAGTTTTGACTTAAAAATCTGATCTGGAAAGGGAAACAATAGAAAAAGTAGACAGAGCTGCAACTAAACAACTGAACAGAGCTGCAGTGACAACTTTTCATGGCCTTAGAAGGGATAGGCAGTACAACAGACAGCCTCTACCCAGCAGTGTACCAAAGCAGATGCTGAGACTCATAGCCAAACTTTGGGCAGAGTGCAGGGAATCTTATGAAAGAAGGGGGAGAGAGTATGACCTGGAGAGGACAGGAGCTCCACAAGGAGAGCAACAGACACAAAAAGTTTGGGCCCAGGGGTCTTTTCTGAGACTGCTACTCCAACCAAGGACCATGCATGGAGATAACCTAGAACCTCTGTACAGACGTAGCCCATGTCAGCTCAGTTTCCAAGTGGATTCCCTAGTAAGGGGAACAGGGACAGTCTCTGACATGAACTCAGTGGCTATCTCTTTGATCACCTATCCCTGAGGGGGGGGGCAGCCTTGTGAGGCCACAAAGGAGGACAATGTACCCAGTCCCGATGAGACCTGATAAGCTAGGGTCAGATGGAGGAAGACCTCCCCTATCAGTGGACTTGAAGAGGGTCATGGGAGGAGATGAGGGAGGCAGGATGGGACTGGGAGGGAATGAAGGAGGGGGCTACAGTTGGGATACAAAATGAATAATCTGCAAATAATATTAAAAAATAAAAATTTAATAAATACACAAAGCAAAAAAGAAAAAAAAAGGGGGGGTAGGCAGGGTAGTTAGAATACTGTGCAATCTCACATTATTCTCTGAATCCGTTGTACCCAAAAGGTCAAAAATAACTATAGTACCAACTGCTTCCTATAGCTATAAAAATTACAAAGAGAAATATCCAGAAATACCACATATAGGTAGTACATAGAAATCATCGATTCAAAATATTTTATGACAGTAAGTCCAAATATGAATTCTAGCATAGATTCATGCTATCTTCAGAATCATACCAAATTTTGAACTACATTATTAGGCTTGTATAGAATAACTTCATCGATTGGTCTTTTTTAACATGGTCTTTACTGAGCTTCAAACAAGTCAGGCAGTCTTAATCTTGAAAGTTGTATTTCTGAGGTACAGACACATGTATATTAATGGATTAGGAGGTGTGGTCTTGTTGGGGGAAGTGTGTCAGTGGGGATAAACTTTTGAGGTTTCAAAATCCCATGCGTGCCAAGCTCAGTCAGTTTGTCTCTGTCTTTCTCCCTCTGTCAGTCAGGATGTAGATCTCAGTTACTTCTCCAGCACCATGCTTTCCTTCATGTTGCAACCCGCGTAGTCTTCTCGCCAGCAAGAACGCACACGGACAACAGGATCCTTCTGCAGCAAGCTTTATTGCAGTCAAGCGATGAGAGGAGGAAGACCCCAAGCCCCAGAATGGTGCTGCTTAAATACACCCTATGGCGGCGTGTACTCCGCTGGTTAGCTGCTTGCTCATTGCCCCGTATGACGCCCCGGGCTGGGCAGTAACGCCCTGGGCTGGGCAGTGACTTGGCGCGCTTTTGCAACTTGCACATGCGCTCTATTACTTGTTCACTAGGGCAGAGGCCGGATGTCGGCGCCATCTCGTAATGGCGATTGCATTCTCTCGGCTCTCTACACCTTCATGTCATGTTCCTCACCATAATGGACTTAAACCTCTGAACCTGCAAGCAAGCCCCCCTCCTCTGAGTAAATGCTGCCCCCACTTAAAAGCTGCCTTGGTCAAGGTGTCTCTTTTCACAGTACCCAGAGTAGGGTGGAAGAGGGGTTCACAGAACAAGAGGGAGTAAGTTTTAACCATCAGGAGAGCCCAGAGTTCTTTGAGCACAACCTTAGGACCTTTACTCATGCTTATCTTGTCTTCCCTCTTTCCCAGGGTCCTGAACCTCTTATCTCTCAGGCTTCTAGACAATTACAAAACATTTTGCTTCTTCACTAGGCAGAATATGGTCTTTGTCTTAAGCACACCCACCCAAACAAGTCCAGGTCTTCCTACTTTCATGTCTTTCCCAAAATGAATCTACCAATTTTCTAAGTGACATGTTTCCCTTCTCTTTTAGTTTGGAATGCACAATTAAAAAATAAGGTAATGGTGGTTTAATCAAAACCATTCTACAACTTAAACCACTTACTGATTGCTGTGCTTTTTAACTATAAAAGACACCACAATTATGTTCCATTTCTAGCTCTTTATACATATGCATGTATGCCTGTATCTCTGTATCTTCTAATCTCATTTGGTTTTCAAGTTAAGTTGCTTCAGAAATTAATGATTTTGGGGTCAGAGCTGGAGAATATGGTACACTGACAGAGCATTTGCCTTGCATGGATGAAGCCTTAAATTCAATCTCCAATACTGCAAAAACAGTTATAAATTATCCTCATCTTATATCACAAAAAATAGTCCAAAATATTGAGATAGAAATTACTGAGCGCTCTCCATCCCTTAGATCTTTAATGATATAATTATCAGTTACCATCACATTTATATGCAAATGAGTTGTTTCTAATTTTCCCATCTTTTTCTTTTTGGAGGTCATTGTCCTGGCCCAATAATGTATACAGTAAAATTTATGATGGTCTAGCACGGTGAAAATACATCTGAAGTGTAATCGCTTTTCTAGGATAGGCAGTGTTTGGATGGAAGTAATCACATAGGCTATGAGTTAAGTAAAAAGAGCCCAATGTAAGACATTTCTAGATTTCCTGATTTATATATATATAAACTGAGATCTTCAATTTCCTTACCTGCTAAACAGAAAGAAAAATAATTCATTCTCAAGAGTCATCATAGTTAAATGCAATGGTGTAAATTATACAAGGTTCCCAGACACAGGTACATGAACCTTCCAAATATTGGCAACCTTCTACTTGAATTTTATTGGCCGCCTGAGTCTTCATCTTATTATTCTGAATTTGGTCAGGCATTCAGAGTAAAGAGCAATGTTGTTGGGGGGACCCTCTACTAACAGTCTTCTGCTCTACAGAGGAAATTACCCCACGTGGCCATATAAACAAGGAACCACTTGCAGTAATTGCCCAACAGATGACAAGTGTCTGAACAATCTCTGCAGTAAGTAAGACAACAACAAAAACTTTCCATAGAATTAAGGTATAAGTATTTGTTTTATCAGTAGCTACTTTCTAGAAAGCTGTGACAAACCAATAGCTTACTGTTCTAGGACCAGACATAAGTTTAACAGTGTCTTTTCAGATGTCTATTTTTCCATGGTGTAAAAGGAAACCAAAGCTACTGCAGTTATGCCAATACCATGGTCATTTTGTGCCACATCTGTAATAAACTCTCACAGGAGCAAGGCCGCCATGAGGGGTGCTTAGAAGGATGGGTGGACAGTAGTCCAAGTCTCATTGTACGACTCCTGCTAGGAAGTGTTTATTGTATACACAATCCCCACAGTCCCTTAGACCTAAATTCCAGCGAACTATCCCTCTCCCCCCAATTTAACACACTTTTTCTCCAGATAGGAAATCATGCCTGATCCATTATTTTATTTACACAAATACACCATCAGTAAATGTAGTAACTTGTACTCATATGCAGCTAATTTCTTCTCAGAACCAATGTGCTGAAAGTGCCAGTCTAATGTACAGTTCTAGCACTGTGACTCTGGCCACCACTCTGTACCCACTTCCTCAACAGTTCACAAAGAGCAAGTGAAATCATTCAATGAGCTACCTCAATTAATACCTGCCACAACATGAAAATGCTATTGGTGTTTTAGCGCTTGACTTGTAGAGCTCTAACAAGGGATAGTGTCTACATTCGATGACAAAACTGAGAATAAGGCTGCAGTACAATTATGAAAAGCCCTGGACTCATGTGAGAATGACACACAAACTTGCATGTACTTATAAGACATTTACTTTAGATGACTTAATAACCTCTAGGTTGTTAACCTCTAGGTTGTTGTTAATTTTCTATTTACAAAGCTCAATTTATACACTTCTTCACTACATTGTCCTACTTGAAAGCACCCCACTTTTTTTTTTTTTTATCGATACTGAACAATCAGGCTTCCAATCACTGTCTCATGATAAACAGGATCATTCTACATGAGAAGGAGCTTAGAAAATACTTTATTTAAAACACATCACTTATTTTAATCTTTAGTTTCAACCATAGCTCAAAATAGGAGTCATCTGGTAGCTGTGATATATTAAATGTTTTTTTTTCCATTCATTGCGGTAGAAATTTCTTTTATACAAAAATTCACATATTAAATTTATATAAAACTAAAATAAGTACTAGTTGACAGTAACTAAGTTGATTGATCTTTGAAAATCACCGTGCTTAAAGCCAAATCAAGTTCATGGTTATAAATATGTAATTAGAAACATACACATAATTAGAAACAAACTTCCCCTATACCTAACTTTCTCTTAATTCTGGTTTTACAGTTAACCCACGACGAGACCAGGTCTCACGTACGTATGCAAACCTTAAACTTTTCACTGGGTGCTGTGTGGATGGGTTAGCTCACTGTGAAAAACTGTCTAAGAGCCCACTCTCGTTTGTTCCACAGGTTACTACTCTGTTGTAAATCCAGACCAGCCCATATACCTTCGTAACAGATACACATCTCTCTTTCTCATCGCTAAGTCGGTTCTTCTAATACTGTCTGTTATAATTACCATTTGGGTGAAGCACAAATACCCTAATTTAGTTCTTTTGGACTAATGCCATGGTTGGGGGTGGGGAAACTTATTTATATGTGGCTATTTTAAAATGTTTGAGGAACTGGTTCAATAAAGCCTTAGTCAAAAGAACTGCTTAGTTTCCTAAGCCTACAGAATAAACTCATCCTTCTGCCCAGGTTGCCATGGCTAGGCTTTCAGGAAGTAACACATACTCCCTGGGTTTCAGATTTCCGGACTTGTAAAATGCATTTTGATAATTTTAAGGCCAATTAATTGTCCTCATGGTTCAGAGGTTAAGAACACTTGCTGCTCTTGCAAAAGGACTGGTGTTTGATCTCCAGCACTTACGCCGTGTCTCACAACCATCTCTAACTCCAGTTCTGCAAATTCAATGCCCTCTTCTGGCTTCAGTGGCCACCAGCAAATACACACAGAACACTCACAGTGGATGCAGGTGAAAGATCTACATACATTTTCTGGTACCATTTCCTCAGAGTCAGAATAAAACAGTGACTGAAAGATTTGAGTTAGAGGCCATGGTTTTTCTGGTGTTTTGTTTTACGCCTGGAATAAAATTACAAAAATAAATAAATAAATAAGCCAAAGTATTTGCCATTAGCAAGGGAGAAAGAAAGCAGTGACATTTTTACATTTATTTTCCTTAAAATCAAATGCTTTGGTTATGGTTATAAAGACTAACCCATAGCAACAACTGGATTTGATGAATAGTCTCATTCCAAAAGCCTATATAATTAAAAAATAGAAAAAAAAAGGTATTCCTAAAACATCTAGCCAAAACCTGCCTGGAATTCATTTGGTACAATGTATACACAGGTAGCTATCACCTTCTCACAAAAACTTTTAGCAATACATATGAAGAATGTATTTACAAAAGGTATGTCCATGAACAGATGAAAAGCTGGTCATAATTTTCAGAGTTTGGCTACTCCCAGGTAAGGCAGCTAAAAGCCTCTGCATGTCAAATTCCTTTACAAAAGGAAATACCTTCAGAAGTTCAGTTTAGGATTTTTTCCAATGTTACTTTTTTCTCTTCTGTTTCTTTTCGTCAGCCTCCATCTTAAGCTTAACTTCCTCTGCTGTAAGAGCACCCAGTTTCTTAGTCTTCGCTTTCTTAACCTTTTCCTTGATAGCAGCCACATCAATCTTAGTTTCAGTAGAAGCTGCAACAATTTTAAATATATGCAAAAAATTTCAGATTATATTTTTAAGGTCATCCATGCAACTTAAAAGACCTGTCTAGGAACTGTCCGAAAGTTGATAAAACAAATGATCTAGATGAAATGACATTAAGGTATACTGAACTCAATTATGCTACTTGATTTCTATTACAAATACAAATTAATATACATGTGATTTTGTATTTTAGAACTTTTTAAATAAGAGTATTCATTAGTACGACAATTTTCCATATTGCTTACAAAGTAATTTAAAATTACATTCAAAATTACATTCATGAAAAATACTACGTATATAGATAGCTCTTCTAGCTTCAGAACTTTAACAAGGCTTACCAAATTATTAAGCTAGCAGTTATTTTATTTAACATGTTTTGTTAATAAAAACTAATGTGCAACCATGTAGTGGTCTCAACAGGCCACACTGACCTAAATGCAGAAAACAATTTTTAAAGGATGCAAATTTTTCTTACCACCTTACACAGCTACCAAATACTTAACAACTGAAACTTATTTTTAAAAACATTCTGTATCCCCACCATGTGCCAATGTTGGCTTCAGAGGGTTACTCTGACAAGTGTCAATAAAGACAAAGAAAATGGAGAAGACAGATCAAAATGAGGCCAAATGATTATGGGGTGACATGAGGCTCTTCCTCTTGACATCTTAAGACTTTTCTCTTTTTTTTTAAGCTTAAAATGATAAGTATATTACCACAGAAATGAGCTTCTCAGCCACAGCCGGGGAAGGCCTCTGAGGTGTGGCAGCAGTGTTCCAGTGTCTTTACAGCGGTAACATATAGCTCTGGCTTCACATCTTTCCGAATAAATAATCTACTCCAAGCACAGGGCAGAGGCTGCCAGGCCGGACCCTGAAGCCACCCCTCCATTATAATGGCCTAGAAGTGTGAGCTAATACACAACAAAACCAGTTTCTTAGAGATAAATATGCGGTTACTTGTCACAGATACCTTACCTTTCTTTGGCTTCACAGCTGGCTTTTCTTTAGGTGGAATAAATGCTTTGTTTCTTTCTTCCTGCCTCTTTGTAAGAGCTTCTGCTTGCTTAGCCTACATCCAGGAAAAACGCCTTAGTAAAACAACTGATATCGAACTGTGCTGTTAATGTTGTGCACAATCTCAAAAGCCTTACCTTTATTGCTTCCATTTTCTGCCGCTTCTTCTGATTTGCCTTCAAAAAGTATTCACCACTAGCCAATTCTTTATCAATCTATTAGAAAGAGTATTTATAGTTAGATCAGAAACAATGTAGACAAACATATTTCCTAAGAAAGTCACAATTTTCTTGGGGTTAAAACTAATACATTCACTCGCCATATAAGAAGAAAATGTAAACTGAGACTAATACAAACATGGACATATAACAGAAAGTACTGTTTGTGAAACACAGAACTGATTAATTCAGGCAGGACCAGAAAACATCAGGGTTTCAGAAAAATGTGAAAATGAATCAGCTGAGTTTGGGGGAAACTTGAGACTCCAAGAAGATGAAACATGACTTAGGATAGAAGCACACATGGCACAAAAGAACAGTGAAAGGATATATGCCAGGCGTGGCAATGCATGCCTTTGATCCATGCACCCTGGGGAGGCTAAGATAGGAGGGTGAAGCTCAAGACCAGCCAAGGCTCTAGCACTCAGACTGTCTCAAAAGCCAAAGCGGGTTGAGGGAAGAGAAAGAAAGGACCCAAACCAAGTCACCATCTTAATTCTTATAACCTTCATTAATAGTCCCTTGGTATCATTACCTCATTTCGGCATGAGGACACTGACCCAGGTCAGATGAAATAGCTTGTTCATAGTCACAGAAAGAGGTGTGAGGACAAGTTGGGAGGCAGGGCTGCTTCAAGAAACTTACAAGCAGCCAAGCAGAGGTGCCTAGCATGTCCCTCTCTCCTCTACAAAGAGGAATCAAATAACAGGTATAATCCTGTTTTGGAGTGAATAAGCATGAGAACATGGCATCAATAAGAGAGAGACTAGAGTATTCTAATATTAAAAAGCCCACAACAGTGGTACAAGGAAACCAAAATACCCCAAGCACCATGGCTACTGAGCAATGGGAGACAATGCTTATACTCTCCAGGGATGTTGATGACAGAGAAACTATGCATACTCAGTGCTAGTAATCCTCACTACAGGTTAACAACCCACTAAGGTAAATAACCTGAAACACGCATACTAGTCCAGCAGTCACAAGGACCTGACATGTCCCAGGGGCTACAGCCTCAGGAAGTAACTGACCTCAGGACCATAAACACTGCACATTGCCAAAAAAGAGACACTCCACCGAACTGAGCTGTCTGATGGACCTGACTTGGCCCAACACAGTGATAATGACCCTCACTTGCAGGGTGTCCTGTACTGTGAGGAAAGGGTGCTATGACAGGGACCTCCCCTTCAAGGTGCTTGCTCTGTGAAACCAAGAGAATGGTAAAAATATGAATTTAAAGCAGTGCTGGGGCTGGAGGCAGGCATCTAAGTGATTCTGGCTGCTCTAACCCGCCCTTGCTTGGCACTGATAGGACAAAAAAAAAAAAAACAGAAACAAAAAAAACCTTGCTATTTGCTGCTGTACTTCCAACAGGGACAAAAAGAAGGACCCTAGAGTAGCTGGGGCTTGAGCATCACACCTTGACAGCGTCTAAAACTTCACCTGACTCAAGCCCTTAGGTACACACTGCCATAAAGGAGAGGAGCAACATAACTTTTGCTTCTACTGTCCCCCCACCCTTTCCTCCCCTAACTGACTGCAGTGGAGAGGCTTTGAGTGTCACAGAGAGAGGGCTAAGGTTCCTAACAGCTTTCCAGTAGAAGCTCTGGGCCAACACCAGTGACTAGTTGGAAATAAAGATGAACAATAGGGCAATGAACAAACCGCTGTACTCGCAAGAGGTTAAGACCCAAATAAAACAATTAGGGCAAAAAAAGGATATTAAAAGCAGTATTAACTAAATACAAAAGTTCACTAGCAGATATTACACAACTACATGTTAATAAATGAGCAACAGGTGTCCTGAAAAAAGTCCAAGACCAAATGGCTTTAATGTTGAAATTTTAAACTATTAAGAACTGATGTCACTTCTTCTCAAGCCATTCCAAAAAAGTGAAAGGAATTCTTTCATTATATATAGGCAGCATTACCATGATACAAAAAGACACAAAAAACTATACACTAATATCACTGAAAAACACATAAAAACCTAACAGCTCATTAAAAAAAAAAAAAAAAAATGGGACTTTGATCATGCTGTTTTCACTCAAGATTTGCAAAGATGGTTCAAAATACATGAATCAATAGACATTAATCCATTTATCATATAGAGCAAAAGTAAGTAGTAAAAGCTCTAAGTGAGAAATGCTAGGGCCCCAGGGCAGGGTAGGTGGTTGTTGGTTGCAGTTTAAGTAGTCAAGCCCAAAGAAGAAACAAGAAATTAGATATCCTGACAGCGAAGATCCAACTTCCCCCAAGGAGCTCGACGCCCCTAATCATCAGGAAGTGGTCTAATGATAACGTTGCCCCCTTTCCAATCCCTGACTTTATTCAGGGATTTCTTTCCTCTCTATCCCCTTGTCTCTCTCCTCTAGTGTTAGAGGATTGAAAGAGTGGGAAAATGGCAAAGGGTGGAAGAAAGAAGAACCCACAAAGTAGCAAATGCTGGCTACAAAAAACGGTTTATGTTCATATCAGAAGCCACCTAGTAAAGATTGACTATTTTAAGATACAGGCAAAGAAAGGAACAGTAAAACAAGATCCCACATAGGTATAGATCAAATTCAAGCACGAGGAAAGAACTGATATGAGCTGGGGCAAATGGGAAAGAAGAGCAAGTCAGGAGAATTCTTTTCTGATCACCTCAAATATTCCACATCAGTAGAATGCTGGTGTGGGAGGGGACAGAAAAGGAAAACAAAGGACTGCCACATGCTTAGGCCTAGCAGAAATTGGACACATGAGCTTTTAGTGAATTTAATACAAAGATATGACTTAAATCCTGGCCGTAAGTGTAAAGAAAAAGAACCGGAAGACAGTTGACAAAAAGGAAAGAAATCCATAACTTAGAAAAAAAAATTTTAAAATGACACAGTACACAGTTAAAAAACGTTAAATCGCTGTGTAGCTTTCACCTACACAACACTGGCTGCCTGAGACCATCCCCAACACAGTTCATTCACAGGGTGAGGCCCACTCCCCAGACCCTGGCCATCACGCACGTCCACACTCAACCCAAACTCTCAGTAACATTCCCAAAACGAGGCTAACGTAGTTTTGTCTGCTCACAGCATCAACACTGGCCACTGACCTGACTTTCTGGCTGTGGAGGAGGGAACGGCGTGTACTCCTTCTTGACACTCTTCTTCTTTGGTTCCTTACGCTTATTCACATTTTTGTGCTTGAACTGTGGCAAAAACCTTTCCCAACTTTGTGATCGTAACTCGGAATCTTTTGCCAACTCCCGTTTAATCATCAAGGTCTTTTGTCAGCACAAACATAAAAATAAAAAAACTCAAACATTTGTTAACACAAAGCTCCTAAAAAGTAAGGGTCAAGCTCCTCATGTATTCAGCAGAGGGAAAACAATTGCAATCAAATTAAATTAAACCTGCACAATTGGCCAAACATAAGAAACTCTGATAGAAATGGTATGAAGCTCAGCTTCCCGCCATCGCTCATTAAAATTCAATTTAATAACAAAGAGAGTTGGAGCTTAATCATTAGGTACTTCCGGCAAGTGAGAAGCTTCCAGTAGAAACTGAGTTATCACAGGAAAAGCCCCACTTCCTCCCGAATCTTTGTAACTTTTCAACCTTATCAAGTGTCAGTGCATTCTCTCACAAGCACCAGCAAACAGCTTGCATTCCAGCCCAGCCAGTGTCTCTGAACACAGGCACACAACAGGCCTCTCGCAAAGGGGTCTACAGTGCAAGTGTAAAAGCCCAAAGGCAGCTTTAATGCAACCTGAGAGTCCAGACTTTGACAAATGGGCAGGATCCTACTGATACCACCTACATTCACCTTATTTTCACTACTGGTAGATCTCTTACAATATGTGACAGTATCTCTCTCCTTAATTTTTCCAAGGAAAATACAAGCACCAAAGAAGGGCTGAGATAGACGTGGGTAGGACCAATTCTATCCCTAATTCACCCAAAACAGCTCTGCTCTAGCTCTCTGCATACTATGTTTTCACAAAATATTTAATTTTCAAACAGTTTGTAAAGTTAGAAGTTTGACAATCACTAACAATGTACAATCAACACTCACTTTAATGTTATAAATTGGATGAATATTCTTCATGGTATCAAGGACTACTTTTCGAACCTGAAATTCACAAAGAAAATGATGCAGTCACAATGATCAACAAACTGGGTAGAAGAGAATTAAGCTATACTGTAAAATATCCTATGTATCAGAGACTAATCAACACATTGAATATAATTCTTCAATTGTTCTGCGTGGCTTCTAGATCTTCTGTAACAGTAGTCAGCCTTTCAAACAGTTTCGTGACTGTGAGGAAAACAACTGACATAACACTCAGTGCCCTACAGGTACTGATTTAGGAAAAAAAAGCTGGATTTAGAGTCAAAAGACAAGGGTTCAAGTCCTGGCATAGGGGCTACAGCTCAGTAGCAGAGTGCTTGCCTATCATGCACAAGGCCTGGGTTTGGTTTCCAGCAGTATAAAATAATAGTAATTATTATTATTATAATAATCCTGGGACTGCCACATCATATAAGAGTCAATTAATGTTGCCATTTCAGCTTTATAGCTGTAAAATGGAGATAAAATTATATAACAGAGCTACTGTAAGAATGAGGTAAAATATTTAAATATGAAACTGTACAGTATTTGATATATTTATTATTGCTCCATTAGAAAAAGATAGGCAATTTATGAGAAAGAGGCCAACAGAATTACTACAAAAGACATCCCCAAAAGGAAGCAAACTTCAAAGCCAGATCCAGCTCAAAACAGTAAAAAGAACTGACAGAGAGATGTGTTCCATGGGTGTTCTCCAAACACTTGACAAGTTACAGAAAATGTTCATGAAAACATCCAAAAAACAAAACAAAACAAACAAACCAACCAACCAACCAACCAACCTATGGCTTGAAGGAAGTTTTCCGAGCCTGACATCTACTGGTTGCTTGCAGTACTACAACAACAGGGCCTCTGCTCAGTATCCCAATACTGAGCCTGTACAGGTATGGATACCAGGGCCTCTTAGGTGAGCTAATAGGATCTGAACTACCCTTTAAGTCTTATAATGGGAAGGGTGATGATGCACAGACCTAACTCAGAAGTGGATGTCTCCACAGTTGTCAAAGGATGCCCAAAGCACCTTATGTTCTAGGAGTGATGGTGCCCTCAAGTTATATGTCATACAGTTTACAAATAAGAACTCAAAACACATTCTAGAAATACAAAATTTGAGTATAAGACATTACTTAATGATCAATTATAATACAACCAAGTTATTTCAGTTTTGTCTGGTGAAAATATCAGGTCACAGTTCTCACCTCTTTCAGACCACTGAAAGGTCCAATGGCTGAGACAGTATTCCCCTGAACCATTACATAACAGTTTGTTAGGAGTTCCAATGCCTGCACGAAAACAGCAAATTCAAGTTCAGTACATGGAAAGGTCACTGATAGAGATGCTCACATGCAACTGATGACAAGTACCTTCAACGTAGATCCTTTGGGACCAATAAGCCGCTGTCTTCTTTTGACAAATCTCTCTTTATTTCTCACTAGAGAACCAATTTTAATGATGTCACAGGCAACATCATCTTGAAGTATTCGTACTGCCTTTTAGGAGGAAAAAAAATGCATTAACAGTCTTCCTTTCCAAGCGCAGGCTTATAGAAGCACAAACATGAAAACCTGAAGTAGGATGGGAAGGAAGAGGGCAGAGACAGGAAGGCAAAAGCATGAAAACCTGAAAGAAGATAGGAGGGAAGCAGGTAGAGACAGAGAGACACAGTATTAAAGGCTGTGGAACAAGCTCCCAGGCTCCCATGTCTCCCTCAGGCCCGGCCTACCTTGTTTTTGAATAGTCTCTCACTGGCCTGGAGCTCACCAAGTTAGTTGTACACAATATAAGCCCTCCCAGACACACCTGTTCAAACGAAACGCTCCTCGCCAAGAGCTTTATTAGGTCTCTGGCCCTAATGATGATGTAAGGGTCGAAAGTCTTCTTTGTTGTACAAACGGTCATGCTACCCTCTATCAAGTCCAGCGTTGCTTTGACATGCTACAAAAAGAAGAAAAGAACCAAAAGTGGTTCAGTTTCAGATTACAATAGAGCTAATCCCAATGGGACTATGAATCTCTGTGCCTGTAAGCTAACTACCAAATCCTCTTAACTCCCTCCCTGAAAAGCTGGCCTTTTAAATACATACAATGAATGCTTGAGTAACTTCATTCTTGGCAGGATGTAAGAAACTGAAGCAAGTGGAACCAAGACTGAGAAAGAAATTTTCCTTTTAAATTTCTTTCTACCTGATTAAGGGACTAAATACAAAACAGATTTTCACAGGTTCACAAAGAAGAAATAACTGGCAAAGATGAGCATTAACTCCTAATAGCAAGAACCAGGTGCTTAAAAAATAATTCCTTTTATGTACATGGGAGCATGGGAGAAAGGGGCGAACACATTCATTCACATGTACATATAGAGGCCAGAGGTAAACGCCCACTGTTGCTGTCCAGGCACTGCCTGGAGTTCACCAAGTTAGCTGTCACAGCTGCCCAGTCTCAGGTCTTTTGCCTCCATGCCTGGCTGCCAACATGGGTTCTGGGGATAGAACTCAGTCCTTTAAGAAATGAACTATCTTCCCAGCCCCAAGAACTAGATTTTAACAAAGCAAACAAAATGCTCTTTTCTGACTTGGGAAGCATCCAGAAGAATTCTGCATTGTGGTGTGCAATGAATACTTCAATAACACCACTCTGGAGACTTGTCAGCAGGAAACAAATAGGAAAAAGCTGGGAATAGCCACATCTCTTATTTAAAAGAAGATGTGAAACACAGCTTGGTGCAAACTGGCCAACTACATGGTAACCATCATGCCTACAAGAGGCATTTGGAAATTTGGATAACACAGGTGATTTTAGACAGTTTGAGAAACTTCTAAAATATTAAGAGCATAGGAATGTCTCAAAGTAGTTTATTATGCACAAAATTAAAAATGAATGAACTGTAAGAATAAAGTTTAGATTCTTTTCCATACTAAAGGAACCGAATTTACCCAGCAAAATTGGCATTTCTGAAAACAAAATCCACCAGTGCTCACAAAGTTCATTAAAAGTAAAGGTATAAGCAAAATAGAATTGTTTAAAACATGCATACATGTTCATTCAAGGCTTTCTGCACCAAAGGCCAACACTCTTTCAGGTAAGCCTCTCTGTACTTTGGGAACAAGGTTGCAAAGCTGCTTTCTTCCAGGAGTCCTCTGGGATTGTCCTCTTTGGAAAAAGCTGGCTCCTTCCAACCATCAGGAACAGTGAGGAGCTCTGCCTCATCTACAGAAGAAAGAATTTACACATCACGTGTTAATGGTCTTTCAGATACTTGGTACACATTCTGTGCACATCTTCTAAGCTTCCCAATACACTCTTTCCTTTCTTCTTCCCTGGCTCTACATTATTTAACATCATGACCACCATGCCTATGACATCGTCATCATTATGTCACGTGGGACCATATGAATACATTGCAGTTGCCTCATCAGAACAAGTTCTTTGATGATAAGGCACTTCCCTTTATCCACTTTGAGATGTAATAGTAGATAGCAATTATTAAGGTACTTTTACTGCCCTATATGATGGTTCAAACAACCTTTTATAATTTTAATATTAATAACCTTTCTGAAATTCCTGGTAAAGAACCTGTTTGTGGAAAAAATTTTAAAGAAGATTCTTATGTATAATGTTAATTAACAATCACTGTGACAGAATTTTAACTTTTCCAAAAACCTTTCTATAATCCTTTCATGAATAAAAGTTATACCACTATTTCTACTTTATAAAAGATATTCAATCTAAAAGGACTAACAGGCCCAAAGGGGTAAAAGGTGAGCTATAGCCTAGAACACTGATAACTAAACGAAAACACCTCCAGAGCACCCTGCATCACTTCGTAAAGTCCCTGCCCCATCTTAAAAAGTCACTCAAATCTAATAGCTACTCAAAGATGCCATCTGTGAACTCAAGAGTGTCAGCACACCTGTAGGGGGTTGTTGGAAATGGTGCCTGGGGATCCATCCCAGGCATAGTGAATCAGGATCTCTGGGGTGAGAGCCAGGAATCTGTGCTTAAGCAACCTCATCTGGCACTGCTTAGACCAATAAAGTTTGAAAAGCAGGTCTTTGCCTCTTGTTCTCAACGCCAGTTAAGAAAACTTGCTTTCTATTTCTACCCACATCCACTTTAATATTTCTGGCTGAAAATACTGGGTTAGTTCTCATAAGTCATCCATTCTCCAACATCTTCTTTTTAAAGATGCAAACTAAAATCCAACAAAAAACTGGTAACTCAGAATTCATTACTGTGTCCCTGTCCAATTTTAACACTTCAACTGCCATCAGTCAGTAAGGAAAAAGGGACCACCTACCAAAGCAAACAAACTGGTAAAGAGAAAAATATGCCTTAACAACAGAGGAAGCACAAATGCCCCCCCCCCAACCTGTGAAACTGTGCAACTTCATCAGTCATCAGGGAAGTACAATTTAAAAAAACACAACCACATACAATCTCTTATCTCCCAAACTGCACGTTTTCAAAACTGAAATATTAGAAATTACTGTAAATTTGGAGCAACGAGAAATCTCATCTGTGAGTCAGACTGGCACAGCTTCAAGGCTGGCTGTTCCCTCACACTGTGAGCCTAAATAAACTTTTCCTAAAACAAAGAAAACACCTCGGCACAGCCCCAATTCTCCGTTCCTACAGGAGCCCTTGGGCATTAGCAGAAGACATACGCAAAGGTGCTTACAAGAGCAAGCAGAGCAGAACTCAAATGTCCACCAACGGGAGAATTTAAAGATGTTCCATACAAGGCAATATTACATAGCAGCAAAAAGAATAAAATCACACCTATGAATCATCACTTATCATTATAATGCAAGAGAGCAAACTAAAGCAGCAAAAAATCAATCAAAACTAAAGACCAAGTTGTGTCATCTAGTAATTTAGCAATCAGATAAAAATTCTGACAAACTGCCCACTTAGCGTCTTTCTCTGTGCGCCTCACTCTTCATCATCAGCGCTCACTGAAACCTAAGGATTATCTAGCCCACTTGATGCCCATCCACAACTTTCTCTACCCAGAGGGCAGCAAAGTGTGCGGCGCCTCCCACAATGTCTGAACCCTCATAGTTTTGCCAGGGACATAATGCATATCACCTATAGTTGGCAGAGACAGGCCCTGGCGAAAGCACTGAGTTAGAAACACGTGGCCGGCACAGTCAACGCCCCCCAACTATCAGCAATTACAACCGCCTGCATTTAACAGTCTTAACCCAGGGGGCAGATGGAAAATAAAAATGATGCTTCATGATCCACCAACTCCAGGCTTCGGTTCTCACACTACCTCACCTTGGTTCTCACGCTTCTGTTTCTGCTGCTGAGAATCACTTTTTCGAGCTGCTTTGGCAGGCGCTTCCACAGAAGAGGATGCCATCGCTAAATTGCTTCCGGTGGCACAGGAAGTAGAACTGTTCCTTAATCCCGCCGACTACAGCTTCTAGAGTGCAAAATGGGTTCCAGAAAATCCCGACGAAATCTGCGCAGTCTCTATGCACGCGGATGCGCAGCCAATGGGAGAGCCGGACACTTTCTTCCCAGAGTGCATTGCACTTGAGGGGAGCAAGAGCTTGCTGGGAATTGTAGTTTTGTTGTATCAAACTCTAAATTGTAGCTGTTTATAGAAGCATAGGAACTTCTTTCTTGAGAACAGAGGGGAGGAAAGGAGAGAAGAAAGGAAGGAGAGGGAAGAGAAGTTAAGAGAGGAAGCGAGAGAGAATAGAGAAAGAATTATTAAAATTCTTATTTGAGGAGCATTATGAATCTAATGGAAATGTTAAATTGAGGTAACTAAAACTTAACCATACTTTGTTGTCACTCTTTAGCCCGTTTGAAAACCTACCCGTGTTTCGTATCTTAAATCTCTCACCTTCCATATTGATTTTAGGGGCCTTTACAACTTTATTTATTCATTTATTTTGGTTTTAGGGGACAAGGTCTCTCAGTATGTAGCCTCCGATGGCCTGGAACTTGCTAAGTAGACATTGCTGGCCTCAAAGTCACAGTGATCTGCTCTGACTCCAGAATCCTGGGATTAAAGCTGTGCACTGCTAAACCTACCTTCAACATTCAAAATTTTGTGGGGAGAAGGGGACTGATAACAAAACTGTCTTTATTCTTTATTATTCTTATATCACAACTTTAAAAGACTTAGGATACAGTCAATAAAAAAAAGCACAAAAATGTATCCAATAAATTAGACACTGAGATGTGGAAACACGCAAGACAGCTGTAACCAGAGTCTGAAAACCCCCTAGGAACTCCCTTTCTGAACTATGCTCTTCTCAACCTCCAGAGAACATCTAATAAGCATGTGGGCCAATAAAAGAAAGAACAATACTGACCTATTTTTAGTAAAACTGAGACATTGAAAATAATAGTGCAAGCGCTTAAACCAGTGGTTCTTAACCTGTGGGTCTCAAACCCTGAGGGGATTCAACCCTTCCATGGGTAACTTAGGACCGCCAGAAACCACAGATATTTACATTACAATTCACACAACAGTAGCAAAATCCCAGTTATAAAATAGCAACAAAAATAATCTTATAATTGGAAGTCACCATAACATAGGGAACTGTATTAAAGGGTCACAGCACTGGGAAGATTGAGACCCACTGCTGTAGACTAAGTTTTAAACAAATTTGGAGGGAAAAAAACTGATGGCTCATAATGGTAAGCCCTTATAATAATTACCTATAAAGTACATTCAACGAGTTTTAAGAATCAAATATAATTAGCATTATATTTAAGTGAGATGAGTTTTGAATCTCTTTCATCAGTGTTTTTCACATATGGGGATGTGGGTCTGGATTCTTTTCCTTGGAAAAGGACTGACAGTCTCTCTCCAACTTCTTCCAAGCCTTTTTAAAGAGATGAAAGCGTAATAGTATTTCAACAAATACTAAAATGCCTTCCAAGGTGTCAATTTACATTAGATTAGATTAGATTAGATTAGATTAGATTAGATTAGATTAGATTAGATTAGATTAGATTAAGTGTCAAATTAGATTAGAAAGTGGAGCTGGATGGTGGTAGCTCACACTTTAATCCTAGTGTTCAGGAGGCAGAGGCAGGTGGATCTTTGTGAGTTCTACAAAGCTAGGGCTATACAAAGAAACCCTGTCTTATAAAACAAAACGAATGACAACAACCCCAAAAAGATTAGAAAATCAAAATCATTATTGGTTTGGTGGTATCCATATGTTCTGTATGTATTTTCATCTAAATTTTAGTGAGTTGTTATTCATTGATCATAAGGCATTTAAATCAATAATTTAAAAGGTAGAATGCATGTGAGGGTTTGTATCTAGCCTTACTGTAATTCTATGGGAGGCCTCTTTCTTTTTTTTTAAGGAAAATGGAGGAAGAGTGGATCTGGGGGAGAGGAGAGGTAAGGGGGAATTGGAGGAGTGGAGATTGGGGAAAGCAGTCATAATATAATATATGTAGATATAACATATGTAAAGAATAAAAAACAAAAACAAGAAACAAAAGGTAAAATGCTGCTGACCATGGTGGCCAACCGCACCAGCATTTGAGAGCTTGAAGAAGTGCCTCCAGCATGAGGTCAACCTGGTCTACATAGAGGTTTTCAAAAGTAAACAGGTACCCAAAGGAAGTTTATGTCATAAGAAATCATTTAACAAAATTGAACGTTATGAAATTTGAGAAAATATCTGCAACACATTGGTTTAATACCACTGCTTTGAAAAGAAATAAAACTATATATTCCATTCAACAGAAACAATATTAATAGGCAATCTAATTGCGCCAAAGAACTCATACATTTAGTCAAATACTGCTTGAGATGTTTCTGTAAGTGTATCTCTGGATGAAGTTTGCATTTAAAGTAGTGAGTAGGGCTCATACAACAAGTTGAAGACTGACTAAAACAAGAAAACTGACCACTCTGGAGCAAGTAGGAATTCTGCCCTCAAGTTTGGACATCTGTTTTTCTCGGAGTTAGACAGCCGTCTCTCTGAGACCATTTTAGACTTTTACAATTCTTTCTGTATGTATATTTGCATTTCTTAGGTAGAAGAATGCATGTGAGCAGCTGTTTCATGTATGATTCTCAACTTCACTCCTACTAGGAAACTGTTCAGACCTCACAATGAAAAATCACTTCTTTCCCACCAGATTGGCAAAAAGGGAATAATAACAAAATTAATACTGCTAGCAGAAAGACTATTTGCAAACACTTCTAGTGGAAATGTGCACACTTGATGGCATTTTGCAAAACAATCTGTACTTTTTATACTGCACAAATTGTGCACATCTGTCACAGTAATTCCTCAGGGGAACCACAAAAAAAAGCAAGTACTTAAAAGGAAGAAATCATATTTAATTATTGGTCCAGTTTGCAGTGTACTTGGATAAGGCTCAAGAATTTGTACCCCTAACAAGTAACTAATAATCTCAAATGCCAATAGCTCTTAGACTGAGAAACACTGGTCTGTATCACTGTGATCTTGAGTTTGTTGGATCATATCACAAGGTGCCGGTAAATGGTCTAATCTCCAGCAAGCATGTCATGTAGTCAGAGTCAGTTTCTGTTCTTCTGTCTGCATAGGAAGATCTTGTATCAAAAGCAAGCTGCCATTTTAGCTGTTCCTTGCTCAGCTGGGCTTCGTTTCAATAGTCACTTATTTCTTCCTTGACAGCTTCATACATTGACAGTGTATCTCCAATAGAGCCAATGCCAACTCCCTCTGGACAGCCCCCACATGTCTCCCTCTCACCTTCATGTTCTTACTTTTTTTTAATCTACCAGTCTGATTAGTGCTTCCTGCTAGAATTTTGACCAGGCTTGATGTTACCTTGTGTGAGCATTGTACAAGAAACTATAACTGCAGTGAGTTCCTGGGTTAAAGGGCCACATCCTACCTAAAGAGAGCACCTTCACAGCACTCTTGCTTTCTTTCCACTTATTATCTTTCTGCTTCTATTTTGTGATGTTCCCTGGGCCTTGAAGGGGTTGATATAGATATCCTATCTAGGGCTAAGCATTCAACAGTCACTTATTATCAGCACTTTAACCACTTAAGAGTGTCTCCACTGAGGCCTACTATACAGGGGCTTCTCTGGCCAAGTCTGAGAGTGGTACTATGTATATAGTTAAGCATTTATAAGGGTGATTGAGAACATGTCTATTCATATGTTGGGCTTCTTGATTGACAACCCGGCTGCATTTTTTTCTTCAACTTTGCCTTCGTCATCTGTGATTCAGTTGCCTATTTACCCACACAATGGAACTTATAAGTACAGGGGATACTTGGCATCTAAAGATATTCATCACTGCTTGAATATTAGTCTCTCCAGGCTCTAGACCAATAAAATATTCATATTTCTGTGGAAACTTAATCCACCCTCGCCCACTTCTTCAGAGTAGATTTTTTCTTTCTCTTCATGCTTTTCCTTATTGATAAGCAACAGCTTTTATTTCATTTGCAGTTATTCTTTCTCCCTAAAGGAAAGCTGGAACATATTTCTTAATATTAGGTTGTAGCACAGCAGCAGCAGGTTTTTAAATGCCTACATGAATATTCAAGATTTAATCAGTGGCATATGAGATGTACTGATATTGCCGAGAATTACTTTATGCAAAAAGAACAAACTACAGCATATTATTTCTATACACAGCATGGGAGAAATATTTAAGAGCTTGGGAAAGCAGATCTTTAGTCATTTGTTAAATTTATATGTGTCTCCCATCCTTGGTGGAGGTAATCATAGATGGCTAGGAATAAAATGAAAAATTTACAGAAAGTATTTTAAACACTTAATGGATACATATTTAAGTAAGTCACTTTCATGGTGTTAGTAAACATTGCAACTTCATTATTGCAAATTCTCCATTATAAAAGTCTGGCTGCCCAAGACACACTGAAAGACATGAAGACTCAAGCTTCTTATCATCACACTTTATGAGCACATGGTGATTATATCCACTTTTGATTACTAGCTCCTTTATTGATCTCATAAGCCTCCATATTGTTCCTCAGAAAAACACACACATTTGAGAGCACGTAAGAGCACCCTTTCCCCAAAGCCCCAATGAATCAGGCGTTAAGGTTATGCTTCCTTAAAGCATCACAGAAAAGAGTATCTCAGGGGCCTATGTCTGGCCTTATGAGTACTAAGAAATTTAATTTTACAGCTCCCTGGGAGAGACAGGGGGACTTCTCTTAACCTCAATAATTAAGCACAACATTCTAGAGTTGCAATTTCAGTGTGACTTAGATACAGCACATAGCAATCCTTCTTGAGGTTTCTTCAACAGTCATAGAAACTTAGTCATTGGAGTCAATTGGAGGATTTATTGCTATCCTCTAAGCCTACATACTGGCTTTCAGATGCACAGTACCATAAAGACATTCAATTCCTCCCTCAGCCACTTCTCTGACTCTCTTCCTCCCTCCTCTCATGTAGGAAAAGCCAATGGCCACTCCACAGGGGTGAGC